TTCCTTTTGGTCTGTGTTGTGACTTATGGGACGGTATCCGAGATTACTGTATGAATAATCTTTTTTACCACTTACCAGTGTTTATCCACAGACAGCTCATCCCATGCTAAGGGCCAGTCTGCATCGGACAAGAGCCTCCGCATTTCAGCATAGTCAGCCTTGCCATAACACAGACATGGTCGCGTAGCGTCTCACTGCAAATGCTCACAGAGAACGAGATCAAAACCTATGACTGCATGGTCACTACTTCCTAGAGGAGTCATGATTTGGACCTTCTCGACAAGTAGTTGGTCACTAGTTAGAATGTAGTCTAGTTTTAATAACTTTCCAGTATGACCCCACCTAGTGTCGTCTCCAGCATTCTCAGTCAGTCCCGTGTTCCGAATAGCTTGCAGTAGATTTCGGCCGAATTTTCCCTAATCATACCCCGAGCCAAAGTTCAGTGATGGGGCATTGAAATCTCCAGCAATGGTGATTTGGTCATAGCCCAAGTCTCGTATCCCTGTGATATTGCTGAGCAGTAGCTGATTGTGCTCTGCCCCACAGGTGGGAGATCGGTAGATGCTACCCAGTAAGTGCTTGGTGTGGCCTACGGTGAAATGACACCATATGGAGTCTGGGAGTTCCATAAGTGGTGGGTCCGTTGCGCGCACACATTTAAGTTGCCTATCAATGTATAAAGCAACCCCCCTCCTTCCTTATTATCCCTGTCTCTCCTGACCAGAACCAAATCACCTATACTGATTTCGTTGTCGGCGATAGTGGGGGTTAGCCACGTTTCAGTGAGAATAATCACTTTGAGTTGTAGGTGTCCTTGGAGATTTCGGAGTTCGCCTACTTTTCCCCTCAGCCCCCTCACATTGCTATATAGGCAGCTGACAGTGAGTCTAACAACCTCAGCGTGTTGTGGGGTAGTTGACGTGAAGCTGTCCGCTGGTAGGGGACTTAATGTTGGGACTAGTTGGCCGATTCCGATGGAGCCGGCCCATTGTGGCTTTTCCCATGGATATAGGCAGGACACTTGGGTGACACAGACTGTTATTCTCGGAACTGCATCGCTCTAGTGTCACTGAAGACAGAGGACGTATTAAAGCCTTGGTTTGCTGCCTCCTTATGGTTCGAGGTCTGCTTACGCAGCTTCGGATGTGTTCTCCCATTTTTCCTTTGGTTTCATACCACCGTTGAAGTGCTATGGCCAACTGCTCCGGGGAGCTGAATGTGACACTTAGCAGCTTTGGAGAGCTAATCAGTGTGAGATGAGCGGCGCGAGGTAGTCGGAAAATGGAGATGGCTCCGGAAGGAGCAAGGGCTATCTGAGATGACAGCCATCTCCATTGCTGTACGTCATGCATGTGTTTTTCACTAGCAATGCCCGCTTCCAGCTCCGGAACACCGTGTACCACGGTAGAGGTAGAAGGCATCAGTTCCGGTGACTCCCTCGCCATTTGTCTGATAGCCCTTAGTCTGTCTTGTCTCACCCTTATGTTCGAACTTCTGTCGATGGCTAGTACCTGAGCCATTAATAGTGCTCTTTCGGCCTATTCGGCAGAGTACAGTGTAACCCTTAACGCGGGTGGCTCACCCTGAGGCGTGTGGACACCCCTGTACAGCCTGCACAATTTCACTGAACTAATGTTCAGACCTAATTTATTGCACAAGTTGGACCACTGTTTCTGATCAAACAGGGCCCATTGTTCAAGTAAGCTATCCTTGCTCACAGGTACGTTAAAGAGGATAAGGGAATCAGACCGACTGACCTCAGACTTAGGTTTGGTCTTTTACTGCTTGTATTCCTTTGCAGTGTCAGTAATTTTAGGCTTCATCAGGTTTTGGCCAACCTTTGCTGTTTTGCCAAGCTTGCTAGTGGCTGCAAGTGGTGCTTTTGCAATTCTATCTTTCCCTGATGTTGTGAGTGCAACCTTGGGAATCTTCACCTTGTGAAAATTGGCATTTCCAGTCCTTTGGACTGGATTGTCCTTCTAACTGTCTATACCAAGTTTTGGCAGTGTGTTGTTAGCAGGTGGGGAGCTGCATGAGACTGTGTTAGGTCACAAGAGTGGCTTGTTGTTTCTGCTATCCGCAGACACGCTATGTGGGTCTGTGCATTGCATCCAAAAGATGAGTCACTACACGCCTGACATTCGTCTCACTACCTTGATGACGCCTTCGAGGTCTTATGGCGTCTTGAGCATTTCCTTTTAGTTTTGCTGTGTTCCACGCACTGGCTTTCAGTGGATGCAGGTGTAGTATCCTATCCTGCACCATTTCAGCACTAGACTGTGGCAATACAGGCGTAGTATAAGAACAGACGAGTCCTTAGGATCGGTATGCGGGAAGGGGTTGATGTCCCTGGGTTTTTGCCTTCTCCGACTGAAGCCCTTGTGATTACAGAATTTGGCGTTTTATTGCTTTTTCTAAGGCTACTTTCGACAGCCATATTAACAATCACTGTGATTTATGCTATATACGAATAAGAGCCCAACATAATCTACCCACAAGAACTGACAAGTACAAGACAAGGAAAAGAAAGGCTTTTCGACTTTGCCTAGTACTTTCTGGATGATTGGCTTCACAGCAATCACGTGGTAGACCGACAAGTCTTGTTTATCTGAATGAGCGAGGATGATGCTGCTACAGAAGTGGCACCTAAAGCTTTGGCAGTAGTTCAAGACAGCTGGACTTACCACACAGAGATTCAATATGTAATGGTTGAATTTAATTCACCGGCCAAGGAGATCAGGTTTCCCAAGCGATAATTCACAAAATAGATATTTTCCGGATAGAGAGGAAAAAGCCCGTCGTATTCAAGGAGCGCGCGATCACAAAAAACATATGGCTCACCTGTCATTTTTGTGAGGTGTCCTCCCTCCATTATCGGTCTTCGATGCATGCTAACAGCTCAGCAGTGAATGTCGCATGTGCTCCTGGAGGCTTTGCAACTGGTCTTGCTTTAGTGCAGCTACTTTGTGCTGTTCCCTACTAGCTGATGCAAGTGGGGTGGCAATCTGTCACACATGGTCCGCATCTGAAACAAGTTATAGACCCTGGTTTTTATATACCGAGAGGCCTCTTATTACTTTGCGTTTAAGTATATAGTAAGACTGACATCGCGAGAAGTGATCTGAGTCTCTGTCCTCTGGTTAACAGGTTAACACAAGTGAGAACAAAAGCCCTTAAACCTGATGTTCTCATACTTCATGTCATGTCAACAGAGGCTGTGCTATAGCTTTTCAAACCAAACTTTTGGATCACTTCGGATTATCTGTTTTGGATACTGGAGCATCTAGTCCAGCAGAAATAATTTATAAAATTAGATTAGAGACATCGTCACGGACGAAAATCAAGCTAAAAATTATCTGTGTATTAAAGGACCCCACAACTGAAAAAAAACCAAAATTTACTTAATATACAGTTACTATGATGAAATTGAAGGCTTATTTTACAAAAATTAGGTCCACCGATTTGGCAACCAACAGTTGTATCAAAATAATTATCGAAATCGTTAGCCAGCAGCGCGCACAATATTAAAATACAGAACCCAACTTTGAAAGCATATTTCGCGGCTAGGCTGACGTAAGTGATGCGAGGAAACCTAACCAAGAAGAATCTAATACCCTTCAATGAAAGGAAATAACTTTTCAGGTCGTAGGGCAGGTATGGTTCTTACTTGCTTACTCATTCTGTTCTTCTGAATATGAATATCGCTTACTACCGCTGAGTGAACAATGAGAGCTGTGTTGTCAAGACCATAGAGTGGAAGTAGTTCGGCTGTGCTATTCCCAGTTCAGTTCACCTTTAAACAGAAGAGAAAGTAACCCATGCAAGTATATCTCAGAGGGAGCACAAGGGGAGTCATAAGATAGAAGTTCATCACAGCAACGGAGAATCTACAAAGTAGGGCTCAGAAATTTAGACAACCATTGGTCTATTTATACATCCTTAGTTCACTTACTGATCCAGACAGCTGTCATGTAACAATTATTAACCGGCTATTAGTAGCATACAAATAGTAATTACATCACTAGACAAGCCATTGCTCGAGTGGAACCCGAAAGGGAAGCGGCGAGTTGGTCGTCAGTGCAAGGGTGACTTGGAGGAGGTCATGTGAAGAGGAGATGAAAGCATGTGGGTGGCAGACTTGGAGCCAGATGAAGACTCTAGCAGAGAACCGAACGCAATGGAGACGCACGGCTGAAGCCCTATGTTCCTCCAGGAATTAAAGGAAACAATAATAATAAATAGTAATTATGGTGGATTGACAGTTAAAACATGGATGCGGCCGTTTTAGTAATATCGCACTGAACATCTTCGAAAAACGTTTTGACTCACAAACAGAACTTTCATAGTAAATGACTTCACAGGCATTCAACTGGCCCATTCACCCACTTACGCAGCCCGAACAATTCAGTGGTTAAGTCTCAGACTGCATCACTGGGTATGTGGGTTTGAACAGCAGAGGGAACGACAGTTGCAAGTACACCTTGATGACGGGTGCCGACAGTCAAGAAAACCTAGGTTTAAGACTTCCTGACTGGTGCCTCAAGCAATCTAAAATGAATTAAAAACGATGCACTTCTTTCAGGTAGAGGATTTTGAGGATAAGTGATAAACCGAATCGTGCTTCACCACAATGTGTTAAAATTGTGTAAACTTCTACTAACGTTTGTTTCATTTTATTCTCAAAGTTTTTATTTACACAGTTGTAACAAAATAGATGATTTTACTAGCATTTTGAAGTGATAGCTTAGGATGTAATGATGACTACCTTTATTCTCGGTCGCTTAGTATGCTTTTGCAATGTTTTCTGCAGTGTTTTCATTACCGGTGGTTTACTTTCTTACCTAATGCTCACTCTATATGGAGTGCTTCGTAACCGTTCGTATTATCAGGATTAGCAATTTATGCAATTTACCAGGCTCTTGCAACAGTCGACACAGCATACAAAGGAGAACTTCAGACGAACACATTTGTTTATTTTCTTTAATTTATGGAAGTGAAACTTTGTTTGATGTTATCACTTGAGTAAATAACAGTTTATCCTTGATAAGGCGCACTAATTGACGGTGGTCGTTGTGTGCGATGTTTTGGTGGCATTTTCTGTTACTTTCCCTGGCACTATCAGGAAATCTCGCCAGTGATATTTTTCCTGACATCACATTAGAAGAATGTGCTGTAACAAAAGGTTGTCTTAGACCTGCCATGTGCACAGAGTCCTCATGTGCATTTCTTGTTACTTGGAAGTTGGTGTCTGTAAATTCTGAGAACTATGTGGAATTTGAACTAAGAGGGAATGTCCAGAAATCTACAGGATTTATTTCACTGGCCTTCTCCAAGGACCAAAGAGTTGTAAGTAGTTGATTCTTAACTGTGGTGATTTAACGAAGTTAACGTAAACTATTTATATCTCCATATAAAACTTTAGTCTTTTCTAAGTAAAGGCAACGATCATACTCCATCATTTAGGCAATCTGACCTTAAGAGGTGCCTAGTACTTTTGCTGATTTACTTTTGTGAGTGTTTTCACTACTTTTCAGAAACATATTACCCTAATTTTCAATCACTACCAATTTTTGTCTTTGTTTTAAAAACCAATAGAATGGGAAATCTGTTTAGTGTTGTGTTGGGTCTGCTTTTATTATCACCCACTGTTCGCCTGTTAAGTTTTATAACTAAAATTATGTGATAATGCCATTAGTTAGATGCTTATCCGGTATAACGCTTCTTTGAAATGTATAACTTTCATCATTTTATTTACAGATATGCAAAGAATTCCCTTTTTGTAGCACCCTTTAAAATGGGTGTCATAAGATAATAAAAATGATGGTTGACAGTTCCATAGCAGATCAGCTCTTAAATGTCTATTCAATCATAGTAGCAAAAAACCATTGGGACCTTTTATCGGTTGGTCAAGGCTTTAACAGATTATTTTGTACTTATTTACTTGTGGTTTTTTCAATGAATACGTTCTTGTGGAGTATTTGTACGTATGTTTATTTTATGACGTCTTGAGTTCAGATGGTTAATCTTTTCTAACGGAAGACGCATTTTCGTTTTATTTTTCTACATGACTTAAGTAATTCTCAGTAAATCTGTGGCTGTTGGAACCTTACACACACATTAGTCTCATCAATTGTGATAAACGTTATACATTTGCTTATATACTGACTGTGAAAGCAGAACGTTTTTTTATTAGTAGCAGACATTGTTTCCGGAACACTTATGCATTGTAAACTCTTTCAGCTGTATACACGTATCATTTAAGGGGGAGGGTTCGTACACGTAATACAAATTATGAAAAACTGACTGCTGGACAAAGAATATTCTTTTCGATAACTTCGTAATCAGGTTCCACAGGTATGTACCACTAATGGCTAAAGAAATGTTGATCTTGACAACACGAATGTTTCCATATTAGTTTGTTTATTAGATATATCACACAGTGAAACAGTATTATATACTGGATGACATTTCGAACAAAATTTATTGTTCATAATCATATCAGTTGTAATCACACGACTTTGAAACTTGACTTTTATAGTTTTATTTGTTTTCTCCTATTTGTCGTAGGGGTAGTAGAATTTTCCAGATATCGGGGACAGGTGATGAATCATTCCTATTACACATATTTTCTAATGTTTTAAATAAAATCGAATCAATAAAACCAATATGTTACAGTTCAAAACATGAATATGCTATAATATCCATATATACAGTACTAAACTAAATATCATAAACCAAGGAAGAAAACAATAATTACTTAACTATTACTGGTATATGAATGCAGTGCCTAATGAAGAAGTTATAAAAAAGCATATGCTTTGTCCACAAGTTTGTCTTCTAAAATTCTTAACGAGCGTCTTCAGTGGATGAACACACACTTATATTTATAACCTCTATGTACACGGTAGTGGAGCTTGCTAAGTTAATGCTTCTTGTATTTCACTTAAGACTCAAGTAGCCGCCATTTTTATTTGCTAAATCACTACTGATTTCTCATTTTTTGGCTATACACAAAATTTTTAAATGCAGCTCAAATATGTGTTTATTTTTTTCACCTTAGTAAACTAGGGTTTTAGTATAAACGCTATTAATTTATGTATATCTATATATATATTTAAATGGTAGGTGGTAAGTAACTACTTACGTAGTAATTTTGGTACCACATATTTGTGCTGTTATTATATGCTTTATTACTAGTGAACAATAATGCAACCGAAATAACCCATGTTGCTGAAACGCAACAACCTAGCATAAGTAGATTTCGTATCATTGAAGATGTAGTCTAATAATAACAACACAGAAGTGGTGAAACCTACTCATTTGTCTGTCCATTTCATAAATATGTATATGATGTTATAATATCCGTAAATACAACACTAAACTGAATGACAAATAAACCAACAAAGTCAACAATAATGCCTTAACCATTACGGATATATGACTGTAGAACCCGATGAAGTTATCGGAAAGGATATATTTTTTTAATTCACTAAGCAGTCTTTTGAAATTTATCATGGCTGTCTTCAAGCAGTTAAAACTCTTAACATTCTGCCTATAGATAAGATATACTTTGTTTACTTCTCTTCTAAATCAGCTGTTGGGCAAATTTGATGGTATTCACGAGTTATGTATAATCGTTTTCCAGTTGATCCAAACACCGTGTAGATTTGAAGGCCTTTTAAATAAAATACAGTGAAGGTAATTGACATAAACTTTATCCAGTAAAGTTAGTAGGGTGTGTATGTGATGAAAATAAATTTTCGTCCTTTTATTTTCTAAAGTTACAGAGGTTCTTATCATCATCATGTACTCACACTGCCACTACAAACACCGCATTAGACCTGACAATAAAAAAACCCTGAAATGTTATTTTATGATTGTTTAGAGTTGTTTCAACCAAATTAACTGATCATCTTGGCGATAAACATTCTTAAATATCATTTCATAACTTCTTGTATGACTATAGCTTTACTGTCACCATGCATAATCATATCATAGCTTCCACTACCCAATACTGAGTTATTATTTATTATGCTGTTTATTTTCCTTTCTACTTGTTGGTATTTTTTCGCATTAAAAAAATTATTTTGTGTTTTTTTGCTGTTGTTGTCTTTATATTTATTTTTTGTGAAATACTCCCTCTAAACGTTGGATAAAATCAGATGCAAATATTGTAGATATGTGCTGAAAATTCCACACTTTACCACTAGTACTGTTTCTGGAATAAAGCAAATTATTATTATTATTAAATTAGAGTGATTTGGTTTGCTGAACTCTCACAGCTACTAAGTTCTGGGAAACATAGATCTACGTGAGACAAAATGACAAGTTAGTATTTGGCTTATAAGGGTTTTATGCGACCACTTGTATATATATTTTTATTTTCATCAACTGTGTTACTTCCTACATTTGTCAGATGTAACGAGAAAATCGTGAAAATTGTTATTGAACGTGGACGACATGAAGTAGCGCATGTTTGATCAATACCCTTAATAGTAGAGGACGATAAGTCAACAGCTTTTGTTAAAGATTCTGCTTCAATTATGAAAGTCATGTCTACATTCTATGTGGAGATAAATTGTGCATAACTTAATTTCACAGAAACCTTTTCAGTTGTTCGTAGGCATTGTTTCTCGAGACGCGAGTGTAACATTAGTTAGAAATCTAGATCAGTGTTCAGACTAGTTAATCAGTTGGCGTACAAGTGTATTTTCGTGTACTGTATGGTTTTTGTTCTTTTCATTTTTCAACTGCCTATCTCTTCACTGCTTAATAATCAGAACTTGGGATTCAGCCCTGAATTCTAAGTAATTCTGATTTAATAACTTCTTGTAAAGGAAGTCAAAAAGAGTCAATTATGTAAATCTTCCTGCTCATTCGTTTACTCTTATTTTGAAAATCTTTTTTTCAAAGAAACCTTTCCTTTCAAGTGCTTTCAACAGATAACTAGGGGTAGCATTTCTTTCAACATAAGTGAAGTAGTCCTATCCATAGTTATTAGTCAATCGAAGGTTATTGTGGCAATGTATTAGCTGTGAGGGAAGTGCCGTACTCGAACCTCACACTGCCATATGTGAGCCGCTTGAAGTGTGTGTTCATCGGGGATAACCAATGTCATTATTAAATAGAAAAAATTATTATAGATTTACTAATAGCTATGACCTTGTCAAAATAAATGTTTCAGGGACTGATTCGATACCAGGAAAAAGTCTCCTTAGTCTAAAGGAAATCGATGGTGTAGTTCTTTCGGTTGAAAACAATAATAAAATGCAGACTCAGGCGTGATATGTGACTATATATGGATCAAATGATTTATCTACTGTGCAAGTAGAATACTTTAGGCTTATGTTTGACCATCAGAACAATCCCATGGGCCTCTGTGCGCATGCTTTAAGTCTAAAAGCCATGACTAACAATCATAATTTCATTTTCTAGTGTTTTGTCAGTCTCCTATTTCAGTGGAATTGTCGCAAATATTCTCCTGCGTGTATACAAAAGTAAAAAAATAATCTATCATATTATACAGCCGAATTTAATTCCTATTGTTAGTAGAATAGATAATTTATTCTTACTGTTTCTGTTACATAGACTGTTAGTTAGAAGTACTGAATTTCCTAACATGAATTTTTTTTACGAGTTGATCACGGATTGATATCAGTTAGAGAACCATTGAAAACCAGCCACAGGGAGTACTGGACAGCTGTTTCATCCCACTAGTTTGGGAATCATCGCCAGTACGCACCCACCACACGGGTTCGAACCCAGGACCTTCCAGTTACAAGGCAAGCTAGCTCGTATACCATTCAGCCACTGGGAACCGATTCAGTGGCCAGTCCATGAATTCTAACTTCTACCAATTCGTGATTCAGCGCGACCACTAACCAGTGTCGTCGGTGGGACATCCATCCTCACACGTGACATCTGGATGGACCTCACTGGTGACGACTTCTCACTAGAACTCCAGGAAACTCCATCCTGTAGCAAGTCACTAGTGAGCATCAGATTAATTTTCTATGGTTGGTTTGTAAGGATTAGTGACATGCTAGTGAGAAGACGTGATCAGTGAGGTCCATCGAGATGTCACGTGTGAGGGTGGATGTCCCACCGACGGCATTGGTTAGTGGTCACGCTGAATCACGAATTGGTAGAAGTTAGAATTCATGGACTGGCCTCTGAATCGGGTCCCAGTGGCTGAATGGTATACGAGCTAGCTTGCCTTGTAACCGGAAGGTCCTGGGTTATAACCCGTGTGGTGGGTGCGTACTGGCGATGATTCCCAAAACCAGTGGGATGAAACAGCTATCCATTACTCCCTGTGGCTGGTTTTCAATGGTTCTCTAACTGAT